ATGTACATGTATATGATAACATAGAGACAGTAATAATAACAATAACAATATACTAACAACCAAACACACACACACACACTTACATGTATATAAAGTACTAACATAACATTAGTGTTAATGGTGTATTTCAGAAGATAAGGTACATGTACATGCATACTAGTGGAAAGACATACATGTGTGTAATACAAGCAGTACAAGAACACAGAACAAGTGTACATGTACATGTACATGTACATTTATGTGCTAAAATCTGGGACAAAATTCCATGATGATACTTATTACACATTATTATTAATTTTTCTGATATAAAACAGGTACACACACATGTACATGTATGCAAGACAAAGATGTACAGATGTACATGTACATTGTAGTAATAATAACATGAAAACTATTATCATGAAGTGATTAGGAAACTATCAATACATTACTACCGTATACGTCCAAATTTTCGAGGGTTCAAAATTTCGTGTTTTCAATGAAATTTGCTCAAAAGTTAATATTCGTGTGAGCTAATTTTCGTGTTCTGGCCATAGTCTACATACAATAGAATGGCATTAGAGGTGATTTAAATTTCGTGGATTTAAGGTGAGCACGAAAATAACGAAATTTAATACACCTCGAAAATTAAGACGCGTACGGTATCATAAACATCACTGACAGGCTATAAAGATATTAATTGAATTTCTCAGTGCATGTCTCATTGGATCATGTGATACTACAGTCAGTGTTGCTGTGAATTGTGACACCTGTACATGACACTACTCAGTAATGCATGAGATACTACTGTCACAATTATGAACAAACTATCATAATGGAGGAGTGAAGAGAGGGAGTAATCTTAAATAAACAAGATTATAGTGTATAGTACATTCCCTACATATAAAATATTTGCTTGATTTAAACGCCTCAGAATTTTTCACAATAAGGAAGTAAAATGAACACTATTAGTACTGTGTATTCAAGAATAGTAGCCTACAAAATGATTCAATGAAACTGCAGGAATACTGATAGCATCACATATTTGTGATTACATTTATTTTTCAATTGTGCTAATCAAGCAAAAGTGTATTTTCCTATTGGAGGCAGGCACTGGCAGTGTTATTGGTGGCCTGAACTGAGGGAACAGGCCCCACTGCTGACAAAATTCTATTTAAAGCACTAGTTTTAATCCCTCCCAATCCTTCCTGTTGTCCATGCATCTGGTACCACCACTGAGTGCAGACATAATAAGTTATTAATATACCGGTATTGGATTAATAGTTAATTGTAACTGTGGGCTCTTTGTAATGAACAGCAGTTATAGCAAGGACTTGTTGGACCCTTTCAATGAGTATCTCGATGAGCATTGATTTACTCAGACTTTTAGGGGAAAACTAAAAGTAGGAACCATCTATAGGGGTCCCTGTATGAACTTAAATAATCTACCAACAATACTAGCGGCCTGTGATAATACATAGTGTATAAGTGCTGGTCTACTACTGCATGGGCATCCTCCAAATCAATAGTCTCGCCCAGCTACCAAATCAAGTAATCTTAACTAACACACTTACTGGAGATGTATTGGTAGCCATTCCAAGTGAAAGATCTAGAGAGTGAGTGACGTTTACAATAGAAGTCTTTTCAAGTTCCGAGCAAATCTGATGATAAAGGGCATTTTAAATGACGCTGCTGTAAGTAGCCTAGGTGTGGCCTACCCACGTGAATACACGTGTGTCAATTGTGCTGGCAGCTGTTGTCTGTGTTGAAGACTAAATGTGATATCATCCTCTCGAGACTTAACAATAATACTCAGTATCAGTCTTTGATCCATCAAAATGAACATACTTTTCGACAATTACGACCATTATATTAGGACCCATTTTACACACGTGGTAGCACGTGGG